GTACATATGTCCATAATATGTATTTACATAATTAATAGTTCATTTGTATATGATATTATATGTAGCGACCATACTATTTTAGCCATATGTATTTAATTCATATTTGCAAGTTTATGAAAACAACAAATATTCAAAAATTCTGCATGCTAATATTTGTTAATCATCTTAATGTTTAAGGTCACTATCTTTTATCTTTACATATATAATGTCAACATACACCATATGGACAAAAGTATTGGGACGCCCCCTTCTAATGAACAGGTTAGTCACTTTAGTAATTTCCATGAGTACAAACCTTAATGTTTAAGCATATAATGATATTCTAGGGAATTGTGTGCTTCTAATTTTAATAGCAACTGTTTGGACAGGACCCTTTTCTATTCTAACATGACAATGCCTCTGTGCATAAGGCAAGGTTCAAAAAGAAATGATTGATTGAGTCAGTGTGGAAGAACTTGACTGGTCTGCAGAAACCTCTGCTGTGACTGTAAATGCAGACCTTGTGGCAAAAACTCCTCACCATACACCAATGACTTGTACATATGGATACAGTCATTTTAGACATGGGGAATAAACAGAAATGTCTTATGCGTAGCTGTCTCTACATATTTAAACTAAATATATTTAAACATTACACATCTTTAAGTAATGTTGGATTATCTTATTGCACATGCGCTACAGCAATATGCAAGCCTGTCTGATAAAGCATTTATTGAATAAACATAGAGCGTTTTGGACCAAACCATGTTGCAAAGAGTTATTTATTTGGTATTTACTGGATCCTTTACCAGCGTGGCCAATCTTTCAAAGATGTTTCTGAGACACCGAATGACCACTTTAGAAAGTAAACTACTTGTTGCAGAAGTAGTTATTCACACTTCTCAATTTAAAGAGGAACATAAAGGTATGTGTTTGCACTGAAATGTTAATTCCTCTGATTTTGCCTAATGAATGCAAATGTCCTCTTTGAGGAAAATAACCCTGAAAATATTAATTAGAAACCTCACATTCATTGTGCTGCTTCTTACAAGCTCTTTAATTAGTGAGCTTTTATCGTTTGATCGCAATGATAATTAGATTTCTCGAATGTCAACGTTTGTTTACTTGTAAGATAAGAGAATATAGAATCAAGGGATTCAAAGATTCATTGATATCTTTCTTTCAGCAACCCTATGGCATCGTCACAAAAAAGAGCAAAACTTTTTTTCCAGTTCTGAAAAAATTCAAACCAAGTACATTCATCTGAAAATGTTCTTTTTTAAACCCACATTTGATTTGTCTAAATTGGTTCCCATGAGTAAAAAGGATAGCTCTACTTCAACTGGCTTATAAAAATGCCGTTAAATGGATAGTTCACCCAAAAATGAACATTATGTCGTCATTTACTTATTGTTCCAAACCTGTGTGAGTTGCTGAACAAAACAGAACTACATAATGGCCTATCATATAGGTAAAATATGAATAGTGCATACATATTATTTTGTTATATGTCAAACAGAAAGGTTCTTAAGATGTAAACGGTTCTTTATGGAACCAATTAGACAAAAAAGGGTCTTCAATGGCATCGTGAAGTACCTTTATTTTTAAGAGTGTGTGTCAAACGATTAATCGCGATTAATCTCATCCAAAATAAGTTTTTGTTTACATAATATATGTGTGTGTTCTGTGTATATTTATTATGCATACACACACATGGATGTATATATTTAGAAAATATTTACATGTATATGCATTTATATATTTATATTCTTATATTTTATATTATATATAAATATATTTAGTATATAAACAGAACACATTTTTCTTAAATATGTACATGCATGTGTTTGTATTTATAGATACATAATAAATATACACAGTATACACACATATGTGACCCTGGAGCTAAAAAGCAGTCATAGGTAGCACAGGTATATTTGTAGCAATAGCCAAAAATATTATATATATATATATATATATATATATACAGTATTACCATTTTCTAAACTATAGCGAATAAACTGCGTTGTGGATTTTCTAATCAATAAAGAATAAAATAATTGTGAAGACTGAAAGTCTTACTGATTGCTCAGATCTTATTGCTTACTAAATGTATTGAAGATTTACAAATTCCATCACAACTGTGATAATGTGAGAAATGTTGAAGGTGTCTGAATGAATTCTGGTCTGACTGTAGCTCTACGTAAAATGACTTACTGCCAGTGCAGAAATGGCCCAGAAAAAGATCTTGGAAAACCTCTAGCCTCATTTGTTTGCAGATACTACTTGGGTGGAAATTTCATTATCTAATGCAATGGAATTGATACACATTTTTTAAGTGTGTATTTATATCGTTTTCGGAGCCACTGTAGAATTTGAAATGCCTTGACATGTCTATGCATACCTCATGCAATGCATGCATGCCGTCATGAGCGTTACAAGAGCAGGAGCCATGTGGGGAACAGCACGAATACGGCTGTTATAAAGAGCCTTAACAATGAGTCGGACACTCCAGCTCTGCCCACGGAGACCGTACCGCCGCCCTCGGCTCGGTTCTGGGATCGTCAGCAGAGCGTGGGAGGGTTGGGCTGTGTGTGAAGGGGGTCCTGCTGTTTGGGTTTCCTTCTCGGAGCAGCAGAGAGTAAATGGGACCCCCCACCACTCTACATCCCCGTAACGGCCACATCTTCCCTCTCCCCTCCGCTCACACACTGAGACATTTTTCCACATTGGCCGGATTAGGAACACTTTCACTTGGATCTATGTGGTCGCCCCCACCGACAAAGAAACACTTGGAGACAGGATTAGTAGGATTAAAAAGGATTCACATATGTCCAGTTCAAGCAATTGGTATTCAAAGCTTTACACTTTCAAATGCCACCAAGAGAGAGTAAAGCAGCCCCGAGCTTTTCTTTGCATTGCAGCACCTTTATGAGAAACGCTTTCCTTTCAGCTTCCTCTATGCTGCGGTGAATTCATGTTTTCACTCTTTTTATGTGGGGATTGTATTGCTGTGGAAAACCAGTGAGACTACCAGAGGGAAGACTCTTTTTTTTCTCTCTGCATACACAAAATCGGGAACTTGTACCTATTTCAGAATACCGTGGGACAGTTTTCATCTCTCATCATACTTGCTGTCATTTTTATTACCTGTTCTGATGGTTACCCTGATTTTAATCTCACGTTCTACACAGAAATCTAGATCATTTCCATAATTATGAGACAGTATATCATACAAAACGGCATCTTATTATGCATTATGTATTATGACATTTGGTTCATATTAACAAACCCCTTTAAGACTTTTAGACTGCAACAATATCATAACAAATCAAATCTCAGTATGGATTCCACTCCTCTAGTTACTTATTCAGATGTAAAGTCTGTGACATGAGAGGTTGTGATAGCAAGTGTGCATCATCGGCCAATAAGACAATCATTTATATGTCGTAAAGATAAACATATTTCATAGTTACCCAACGTATTAATTATATTTGCTATATTTGTAATACATAACAAGTGATGACAAATTCAATCAAAAGATCTCGGAATTAAACATTTCTCAAAGTAAGCATAAATCAGTATAGGCATATTTTCATATAATAATGAAATATATGTATTTGTTAATAAGAATCATTATAATGCTGTTGATATACTTAGCAATTTTGTTAATGCACGAGCAATATCTGTACATATTGTCTGCTTTTTTATATCATAATAAATTTACAGCATCTTGCCAGATAGAGGTAAGTTTTAAATTGATGCATACAGAATTCTGTTTTCGTTCATGTCAGGAGATATATTAATTAATAACATTATAATGTTTAGAATAGTAACTAATTTTATTCATTCTTTACCTTGACTTTGTTTCTGTAACATGTTGAAATATAAATAAACACGCCAAAGCAATTGAGCTATTTTATACCAGGGAAAGGGGCTTAAAAAAAACTATTTATGAAATTAACAAAATATATATTTCATTTGACAGCATTAAATTTCACCCCAAGAGAAATATGTCATCCACAATCTAAATTGTTTCATATTATTATTTGCAAATAATAATAATAATGTTCAAACATTAAAAACATTTGCATCAATAGCAACATCTTTGTTTTATATTTTCAAATCAGTTTTATTAACCAGTAATTTCATATTAAGTCAAAAACTGTATCTGTAAAGCGTGTTCTCATTGTTAATAAATCTCATTGTTCTTTATGCAATGAGAGATATGCAGTTATAATCAAGGTAACAATATAAGTCAAGGTAAAGAATGAATAAAATGAGTTACTATTCTAAAGATTAGAGTGTTAATAATTACTATATCACCTGAATTCTGTATGTATCGATTTAAAATAGCTCTGCACAAGACTTCTTTTAATGTGAATTTGTGGTTTACAAGAATAAGGCTCAACTTCAAGAATCAGATATTTCTATTATTATTAGTTGTAATAATGTTTGGTTTTTAACGAAATTGATAATACTCCATTTAGTATTCTGTGATGCATATACCAATAAACTCGATGCAGCCTGCATACAGCGTATAGATATATTCAACTGCATATCTGTGACGAGAAACGATGCAAGGTGCATTGTAAGCGACCCGCGGCATCGTTTCTTAAGCGCGGAGAAGTATTTGCAAACTTTCAGAGGCTCCTGAGCTGAAGTGTCTCCCCATGGTGTCGTTACAATGAATATGAATAGATGCTCCTTTGGTCAATGGGACAGTCAAAGCACACCGCTCTAGATAATGGGGGCGTCATCCTAACAAGACCGTTATGAATAGAGGGGCTTCTTTTGTTTGGCCCCTCTCGAGCAGCGCTATAAATACGGAGCCCTGTGATGCGTCGCCACAGAGCAAGAGGTGCGAAATCAAACCAGGAGACACGGCCTCGGTCTACACACACACACAGAGAGAGGCTCCAGTGGGATAAATCAGCTGATCAAGCAGGAGTGACTTGAAATAAAAACAAGGCAAGAGCAGGAGAGCAAGAGACAACCTCCTACCCAAGCGCAGCCATAAAATGAATTCGGACTCCAGCTCCAGCAGAGCGTCCTCTCCAGACATGGATGGGATGTACCTCCACCACCTCCATCCTCAAGACGGCCGCCTGAACTCGGTGTCCTCCACGCAGAGCGAGCTGCTCCAGAAGATGACGGGCGAGCACGCGTCCAAGACGCCCTCCGGCAGCAAGTACAAGCTCAAGAAGCAGGTGACCGAGCAGGAGGTCCAGCATCTGCGCTTGAAGATCAACGGCCGAGAGCGCAAGCGCATGCACGACTTGAACCTGGCGATGGACGGGCTCCGCGAGGTCATGCCGTACGCGCACGGGCCGTCGGTGCGCAAGCTCTCCAAGATCGCCACGCTTCTGCTGGCCAGAAACTACATCCTGATGCTGACGAGCTCGCTGGACGAGATGAAGCGGCTGGTGAGCGAGATCTACGGGGGCCACCACTCGGCGTTTCACTGCGGGACGGCGAGCCCGGCCGCGCACCAGGTGCATCCTCTCCTCGGGAGCGCACTGACCTCGTCGACGCTTTCCAGCACGTTACCGGGACTTACCTCCATCAGGGCGCCGCACTCTTTGATGAAGAGCAGCCCCGCGCCTCCGCTGCATCTCGGCGGCTCGTTCCAGCACTGGGCGGGCTTGCCGTGCCCCTGCACGATTTGCCAGGTGCCGCCGCCTCCCCACCACCTGCCCATCACCTCCACAGGACTGACGAGGCTTTCCACAGAGAACAAGGACGTGATGAAGTGAACAGCGAACGGACTGGACTTTGCATGATCTGTTTGTCTGTCTGTTTGTTCGTTCGTCCTTGTAACGAAGATCTCTTCGATTGCGTTGTAAGGTAACTACTTTACCGTTATGGAGTACGTGCTGCATAACGCGCTGTAAATTCACTGTAAATGAGAGTAAATTGTTCTATTTGAGGTGGAGTCTGTGCGTTTGAAGCTGCCCTGGAAACGCGAGCACTCACTCCCCTTACAAAAATGTGCCGTGGTAACCATATCGTCCGTTTCTGGTAGCACTTTATTTTGATGGTCCCTTTTGAGCATTCTGTTGACAATAAGTAACTTTGCACCAACTTGTCAACTAACTCTAATTAGAGTGCAAGTAGATTCACGTCTGCTAACTATTTATTGTGATGGTGTCCCAACAGACATAAGTAACTCTGCAAGTACATTTCCACTTATTCTAACCCTAATACTCTGAGAGTTCGTAGATATGTAAGAGCAATATGAATTACAGTCAACAGAATGTTTTCAAGGGGCCATCAAAATAAAGTGAAACCGAGTTTCTACTGTGAAGCAGTAAGAGCCGACATTAAAGTGGAATCTCCTTTAGATTCTGACGTTATGACGCTTCATTCACTGTTGCATATTTCTTCTGGCGCACACTGTGGCTGTCGTGGGGAATTCGCGTAAGGGACGGCGAGGCTACTTGTTGATCGTGTGATGTGGGGGAGTTGCGTGCATGTATCTTTTTGCAGTGGGCACGAAAAGACGAATCCCACATGTTCCTTGTAACAAGGATAGTGACATTTCATTTCGGATGAAAACTGTACGACTATGGATTTAGTTCGCACTAGAGTGGTATTATTATTATATCTCCTTCGATTATTTTATTCATCCATTGTCAGCCTAAGTAATAGCTGAACCTTCAGTCGTGCTATTTCTGTGTCGTATCTTTATTTGAAATTCTTCGGCATGGCATCTTGCTCAAACAACCTATAAGCATGATCTTTTTTCCTACATTTTGTTATTCCAGAGAGATTGCCATGGTCTTTATTTTTGTACATTCTTGTTGACAAATGAGATATTTATTATTGCCCAGTGTTCCTGGATGAAATTTCAATAAAACATTGCTGTAAAAAAAAAAACTACACTAAATATCTCTGTTTTTTGTATATTTTGTAACATGTTGTGCATATTAAATTACTTGTGCCATATGCAGTTAACTTATTACAGCTGTAATTGAAAATAAATCTCAGTCTGTTCTTACATCAAAATGGTTACAGAAAATAATGACAATTGTCAGTTTCGTTTCATATAACTATGCAATCAAATATTTTACACACTTAAGAAAATGTTCCAAAACATAACAGGCTACGTTTCCTTGGCCGGTCAGAATAAATACTCGTTAGAGATGAATGAATTCATGTATAAAGAAATACGAAGGAAACAATAAAAAGAGAGAAAATAATGTAATGTCCTCAGACGTTTAATTTGTGCATGCCATTAAACATCGCATTGTGAGCCGATAAAAACGAATGCATGTAAATGCAAGTCCAAAAATAATAATAAACGATAAAAAAAAAACTGGTTTAACGATAGAAACAAAGAAAAATGTTTTACACGGTGCTTCAACACAACATATCATTCTGGGATGGTGGGAGTTGTGAGACAGCAAAATGAAATTAATGACAAAGTCTGATTCATTAGGATACTAATTAAGCATCGATTAAACAAGACGAATAAAACATAAAATATGCTAAACAATTTTACATCAATGAACATAATACAAGAGACCGTTTTAAATAAAATACCATTAATAACAACAATAACAACAATAATAATAGAACCGTTCTGTTTTATGGTTTTATTCTAATACAATGCTGCGATGATTTGGTTAATCCATTTCTTACATTTGATATGAAAATGGAAATATTCTCTTATTTGTTATTATATCCCTAAAAGGTATCCCTAAAATAATAGAATATTTCCTTAACATTACATCAGTTAGTGAAATACGGTATTTTATTGTGAATTTAAGTTAAGTCTGTAAAACCTAAAATGTTGCAATCATATTTTTTACGGTGAAGTTCTGGCAACAGAAAATGAAAAATGTCACAGATTGTATTATTTTTTTACAGTGTACGACAAATACTAATTCGCTGATTCTGAAACTCAGCGGATGAAATAACGCTTTGCACAGCAGAACGAATCCAATTACGCAAATGTCTATTGCCAGAGCGGCGTTTTGCAAGCGTTTGTGCGCTGCTTTCCGTCCATCTGGCTCGAGTCCTGGCCAGTGTTCATACACTGTTTGTAGTCCCTGAAAACAAAGTGTAAAACTAGCTCACCATTCTCGCCCAGGCTCTTCTTGTTGCTTGTCTAAAAAGGGACTTGAGCCCCTCAACCAGTTAGTTACAAAAGGGCTTTTTAATCCTTCGCCTCATTTACATCCCCTAAGAATAGAGTCCTGAATATCAAATCTTCTGCATTTAGGGTGCTGTAATCCGCAAGCCCTCTCTGATGTTGTCTTCTCCCATTCCCCTAAGAACAATTAACTTGTAATCTCTACAAACATACATTCAGCTGCTGCCTATCTGATCTGAGCTGAGTCTGTGAAAGGACCCGAGGGACTGCCTTTGTGTTTCAAATGTGTCCAGTGCAATTTTATCATTTAATTCGCCCGCTGACACTTAATAAACCAAATTATTGAAGTGTTAATATCTGCTGTAATGCACTGATAACCACCAAAAACTGGTGGTGATGAGAAAGTCACGGTATGAACCAACACTCATCACAAACAGCTTTTCTACGAGCTGAGGAGGGCATACTTATATACAGAAGGTGCACACAGTGTCATTCACATAAACACTAAACACCATCATGGTGACACACATGATTCTGAAATAATGCAATAAACATTCATTTAACAACATTAGATGTAAGATTAAACCCTAATGTACACAACTGATAAGAAAAAACATGTTATTTCAACAAAAAAACATCAAATATGATGCATCATGCAGGGAACTCTGGGAGTGTCAATTTACGGCTTTATACTGTAAATTATACAATGACTTTTTCTTTTTCACTTCCAAAAAACGTATTTTTAACAGTATTTTACTGTAAAATTACATTAAATGTAATTACATTTATTCACCGAATATAGTATGGAAACTTACTGTTAACCAGTTAATAGGTTTTTACTGTAGCATTTTTACAGTCTTTTACTGTTAAAATCACAATCATTTTTACAGTGTAGGAACTGGGTGACAAACTGGCTTCTGTCGATGGCAGAGCGAAACCTTATGAGCACACTTTACAGTGTGCACGTTGCATTCAATGTGCATTTCCAGAAGGAAACTAGCAGTGCAAGGCAGAAGTTTAAAAGTGTTCAAGTAAGGTGTAGGGGTTAGGCTTTGGTTCTATGTCAATTTTATCAATTTTTCTCAGCGCGCTAATCACACTTTATAGATGCTAAAATGTATGCAAGAAAGAAAAAGACCACAATTTAATATACAAATAAAATCAAGAAAGAAGGCCAGTCGCGATGCTGAATGACATCACTGTCGTTTTCATTTAATTTTAAATAAAAAAACATGTTTTCCGGAATGCTCCCTATTATTATTATTATTATTATTTAAAATGCTAAATCCATTAGTGTATGTCATTCGGTGCTTCAGCTGAAGTTGACCAATCAGCGTTGCGCAATTGCCATCGGAACTCGTTCGGTCGTGTCTTGTATGGTGTCTTGTAACATTCTAATTGTTGAAACTTGCATCATGTACTCTGAAATGATCCGCAAAAGAAGTTGAACGTGAATCTGCCTTCAAATGAAGTGGTTCAAAAAGCAATTTCACATTTTCTTCACATCTTGCTATTACAGTGTTAAGTTCTTATGCGTGGTTGCCAGGGTGTTACTCAGTGGTTGCTATGGTGTTTTTGGTGTTGAAATTAGCCCACCCTCAAATCTCTATGCTATTCTGGTCTCCAGATGTGGCTATAGGAGTTTTGATCGTCCATCACATGATTTTTTGCCATCATTAATGCATAGTGCAAGCACCACATGATAATATTTACATGGCAAAGTTTAATGCTCAGAGCTCTCTGCTAGCCTACAGTATATTATGGTCTGTCTATTCTTGCTTCTAGATTGTTTTGTGTTCCAAACAGCGCCTAAACTGCAGGCCAGCAAAATGGAAACAGCATGCGGCATACTGGAGTCAGAATCTGTCATTTGTCAAAGTCTGTGTTTATGTGTTATGTCTTCCAAAAAAGCATCTGCGAGGCCGGCGATGCAGCCAATGAGAGCTCGGCGCGAAGCTATTCTCACACGCTCGCTCGAAAGTAAATTAAACGCCTCATGGTATTTTTCGCTCCATGCCTCTCCCTTTGTTTCCTTTAATTACAGTTTGGTGGTTAATAAACTTCTTTCCTGCTGGTGCTTCATTAACCATTCTGATTGTTATGATAACATGTTTGTTTACAGTCTCCTTTTACAAAGTTGAGATAGTTGTCAAAGTGAACAACGGTCGGGTGAACTAAACCGACCTCAGCGGCACGTTTAGAAGCATATTGCATGACTTGACCTGTTGAAACATAATCTGATGCTTTAGCTTAACTGGCTATCCTGGTGTCATTTTGTTTTTCTTTATGCTTTATTTTACACAGCGCCTAGGTCCATCATGTAAATGCGCCAGATTTAGCCATACAGGTTAATTTTCGCTCGATGCAAAGTTTACGTAGCGCGCTGAAGCGAGCTAAGAAGGCACCAGATTGCCAGCCGTAAAACTCGGAGGGGTCAAGCGGGGTTGGAAGAGACTCCCATGCTCCCGGGTAATTTCCCCGCGGCCGCTGTCGAAAAGACAGCTACGCTAAGTGGAGCCCTTTCTTTTCACACATGACAAATGGGTAGTCCTCGTCAGTGGACACACCTGTTACTGGAAACACTTGAGATTTTACACTTTCGAGAGTGGCCTTATTACCATCAGACCGCTCAAAGGTCCCGAACAATGGACGTGGATG